AAGTAAGCCCTCTTTTTCCAACATTGATCAACTCGTTCATATTTAATTCTTTCTCTTATTCTATAGTACGTGCGCAGTCAGATACCAAATATCCTTCTGTTTACGGGAATTTTCAACCAAGAGGACAATATCTCGCCCGAGAATATGCCTAAATAACCAAGCCAGAGATTTTCTTCCAAAAATATGTCGATTATCTGTATTCAGAACAAAGAGACAACCAATAAAAATTTGCTCAAATAAATGTGCTATGACATCGGAGAATTTAGCAGCAGTTTCGTTTTTACCATGCGCATATTTGATCCATTAGCTGTGTAAATGTGGGTATGTCAAGTATACCATGATACAGATTTCTTGTCGAGATGGACTTGCCTCAATTTGAATGCGTTTAGTTGTTCTCTTTGATTGAAGACTCCTAGATATGAATAATATTTACTGTAGCTGTTAAGTTGTATTTGTTACTCATATATTTCTCATGTGGTTGGAGCATCTGTGTTGGAATGCGTTTGTTGAGGAATCGTCTTAAGCGGATAAAGTCGATATACTATAGCTATCTATAATAGAGTAAAGCATATGAAAGGTTATGTTTTAGAAATATGGTTGTTGCTGTTTGACATTTAATTAGAAATTATTTTCAGATTAGCACATATCACAGAAAAAAGAAAAGTATCAATAGCACAATGATGTTCATTTTATTTATTGGATTATTTCTGAACGAATTGTGTCAGAGTTGGTATCAGAGATGAGCGAGCCGCGGTGTAAAACCGCCCCGTCCCGCCCCGCCCCGCCCCGCCGGCGGGGCGGTGCTAAAACTTGACGGGGCGGGGCGGTGACGGTGCATGACGAAATTTCGCGGTTTCCCCGCCTTTGTATAACCTTGATTTTTTAAATATACTCAGACCTTTAGAGACATCTTTTTAAAATTTTAAAATCTTTTCACAAAACTAATCAGTAAAAAAAGACTTGTTAGCGCAGCTCCAGAGGAGCTAAAATGTGGAACTCACATATATTTTTTTAATTTTTTGTCCTGATGCCTTATTTTTAAATTGTAAAATACCTTTTTTCCGAATACGTATGAAATCATTGATATATTATATAAAAACTAGAGCCTTTTATGGGCTGCTGAGGTCTGTAATGGTGGGGGTCAGGGTTACCAGATCGAAAATTAAAAAATCAGAAAAATTTTTCTAAAAATTGGGAAAGTCGGAATTTTTGTTCTCGAAATCGGAAGAAAATCAGAAAGTATTTTTCCATGCTTAAATAACTAGTCTATATATTTTCGATAGCTTCAATATCCTTTATCTTGCTTCTGTTCATCTTTTCGAAGCAATATCGGAAATGATATTTCATAAAGAATGAAAGAAAATATCGATTACACAATTTACTCATGATTAAGACATCTACATAAGTAATTTGAACAGGATCACATTATTTTTATCAAAAATGCTATAACCAACTTGACGAAACAATAGAATCAGTATTGTAAATTCATACACACACATGCATTTCACAAAACTTATGCAAAACAAAACTAAGACTTATTCTGTATAATGTTCGTTTTTGTTCATACTTTTTTATTAGCTCGAATACTCTTCAAAATATCAGGTTGAGGTAACAGATATTCATAAAAATGTCCACAAGTATAAACAGAACTCATTCCGATTTTCAATTCTGCAACAGCTAAATTAGTACCCATACGATTATGATTAGTTTTATGATATCTATGATAAAACAAAAAAAGCTCAGAAACGAAAATATTCTTAATTAACACTATAGTAAACGAACAGAGAAAGTTAGTTCATCGTGATAGAAAGCTGGATCTTAATTGTCTGTAAAACATCATAGTTTTATTGGAGGATATGCTTTCAAATCACTGCAGTGTGGTTTGTTGAGTTCATGACGCTTCACTACCCGATAACTATGGTGAAATAGATCGCTATATATGTGTGGTGTCGTGTCATGGTTAAACTATTCTAGAATGTCCTAAGAACTTGAATTCCCAAATAAGACTTCGAAAACCGGAGAAAAATTAGGAAATCTGAAGGCGATCGGAAAAATATGTTAAAATCGGAAAAATCGGAACGTCGGAAAGTCGTCGGAGAAACTTTTAAAAAATCGCAATTTTTCCTGCCGTATCGGAAGATCTGACAACCCTGAGTGGAGTGTCTGTAATGGAGTGGGGGAAGGGAGAGAGCCGCCAAACCTCGAACTTAAAACTTACAATCACTATTTTATTCGAAAATATACGTGAGTTCCACAAAATGAGTGACTGTATTATAATTGCCTTTCATTTTCATATATTTATTTTTTTCTATTTCGGAACGATGTTTATACATTTAAAATATGCCTCTTCATCTCATGAAATGAAATAGCCATTATGAGAATTTAATGAAAAATTTGTCAATAAATAGTTTTTTAAAACATATTTTTGACGGGGCGGGGCGGGGCGGTGGCGGTGCGAAACTTTATCGGCGGTGCGGGACGGGGCGGTGACGGTGCGACTTTTTTGCTGACTCGCTCATCTCTGGTTGGTATCCCTTTTATTGCATTTTTTCAGCTGTCATGAGTATAAGCTTCGGCGTATTAACTCTGTTGTCAAGTTTGGATTATTTCGCATGCCGATTATGATTTTTTCTGCCATCAGCTGTGCTCATGCGAATGAATGCTGCCACAGTTAATGTCTACTTGATTTATAAGAAGAAAAACGTTTTTCATGTGTGTAATGAATGATGATTGGATTTAATAAGTTGACCTGTTTTTACTTTTTCAATAGTTTTGATTTTAATAAAGGATCAATTGTAACATTATGGCTATTATGATCCATTTGACTTGCTATTCTCGAAACTCGTGCCATGTTCGCTTGCAATTGATTGAACTGATAGTTGTCGATACAATAAAATGTATGCGTTTCTATCATATATAATTGTTATAGTACGTGTGAATGTCACTGGAATTTGTTTGAAAAATTTCTTGAAATTATGATAAATATATCTTATTGAGTAGCTAGAAATTAGGAATAGAACGAAAAATCTTACATACATAAATTGATATTACTTAGGACAGTCCAAAAGTGGTGGCAGTAGCGCTTTAATTCCTTATAACAAGTTTACAGAAACTTTCTCTTTATACAATCTGCTGGAGAAAATAATGCTCTATTTTTCTATACTATTTGATCATGCTTCCACTAATATCGGGATAATAGAATTTCGGTAAGATCTGTTGCGTTGTTTTATGTGTTGATTATAATAATACTCATTTTATAAAATACGAACGAGTATTTTTCAAATAACTTTTGATAAAAACAAGACAGAGAACCGTGGTTTGCACCATTTGAAAGAGAAGATGAAAACGTATCGAATCGTATATTTCAGGTTTCTTGATCTGTTTTTTGTAAGGTTTTCAATCGACATTTTTTAAGTACAAACCTATCTAGTGAGTTGTTTACAGTGAACCCTCAATTATCAGATATAAATTCAAACCACTAATCGGAGATCTCCAAAGTCCGAAACGTTGAGATAAATAGCATGCATTCTAGTCTAGCCTCTAATACGGTTTTCTAGCAAAGCCTGTGAAAAAGCTCACTTTTGTGCTTTTTCCTTTTTTCATAAAAAATTTGAATAAAAATACTTCAGAGATCAATATTAGAAACATCTAAAATTTCAGATTCGGGGCATCTTTATCTTCTCTTTCAAATGGTAAAAATTGCACTTCTCTGTGTTGTTTCTATCAACAGTTATTTGAAAAATATTCACTAGCAATCATGTAACTGTGATACATCCGAACAAAACAGGTCTTATCGAAATTTTATTATCACGATATTAGTTGAAGTATAATCAAATAGCATAGAAAAATAGAACATTATTTTCTCGATCAGACTATATAGAGAGAAAGTTTCTTTAAACTTGTGATAAGGAATTGAAGCGCTACTGCCACTACTTTTGGATTGCCCTAAGTATCAGTGTCTAAATACATCTAAAAGAAATAAGAATCAATGCACTTAGTTTTACCTCTCGGTATTTTGTTATTGAAAAGTCAAATACAAATCTTTCATGCAGGCATGTACAATTTTTAAAAAATTTTATTATGATCTGATAAGAGTCAGTATTAAGAGAAATTTCGTCTTAATCATCTAAACGGAATTGGTTTCATATTGCTTTCAATGCCATAAAATAATTCCATTCTAAAAAAAACGAGTTATTCACAGTATCGAAGATTTCGAGATAAAACATGCTACTAAATACAAAATCTCTTAAATTATGTTATTGTATGTGTGCCAGTAATTTTTACTACAAAAAATGGAACCTATCGAATATAAGTATTTTCCTTTTTCTATTTTTTTTTCCTCAAAAAACAAAATAACTTTATTTGGAAAGTATTAATGAGGAAAGAGTACATAAGGCAAAGTTGAAAATATAACAAAGAATATATCGATTGTAAATCATCTCCACCCAATGAAAAATTTTCACAATTGTTTGATCAATAATTTTTTTTTTTTCTAACATTAGAAACATTTAATATTACTCATCGATGCAATTGTTATGGTTATTTGATATGATATTCGACAATTGACTAGGATGAATTATTAGAAAGTGAAGCATTTTATGAAATTGAGACAACATGTTGCTATTTAACTATGAAAAACCAAATGAACTTAGGATCTTGGCCATAGATCGAATTGCAGTTTCGATTTCTTCACATTGATAATTAAAATTCTCGATTATATTTATAACTTATGAAATACGATCATTCTATCTTCTATAAAGCTCAGATCACTAACTGTGATGTGACTCATTTGATACATAAAGATAAATGAAAGATAGAAAAAAAGAATCGAGAAAAAACAAACAAAAACAACGCTAATTAAATGTCTAATAATAAGGAGAAAACAGAAAAGAATATATTGGTTACATGTTTTTCTTTCTTTTACGCATTTTTTTCTGTAATTATCTATATGATACATGATCAAATGACCATAATTCAAACAAATTGTTCGAATATACAAAATGATGAAAAGTCTTCTATCTCGTCTATGTTCATGTGAACGAACCAATTTCAAACAGAGTAAGCTCTTGTCTGTACTAAGATTAATCACAAAAAAAAATGAGTTGTACGATTGAGAAGCGATATTTCACTGATAAGCTATAAATGCACACATATTTTGCTTCTCTTTTTTGTGTACGCTTATACACAACTTAATAAATCAACGAGGTAATAGTCCTAACTGTCAAATTGTCTTTTGAATGAAAAATTAGCGAACTATAGGTTATTCTAGTCTACAACCATCCTCGATTTTTGTATGAAACGGTATATTTTTCGCTGGCGAACACTCATTGAAAAAATTAGAGTCATAATTATGATTTTGTATCTATGTTTTTTTTCATTAGTAACTTGCAGAAAAATAGAAAAAAGCATTTGACAAAAAACACTCTTTTGCCTAAAAAATTGGTGTTTTTTTTTAAAGAGTTCTGACATGGTTGATAGATCACTCATATGACGGTATTCTAAATAAACACTATTGATAACCTACACTTCGCTATAATATTGTATTTCAATATATTGTCTTTTTTGACATAAAATAAGAAAGTATATAACCAACCATTTTAGCTGATAAATTAAATAAAAATTCGAATAATGAAGAAGATAAATTGGAAACTATTGATTTTATTGAAAGTGAAATACGAGCTTTCTCTCCAAAAATAACCTGGAAACATCTCTGGACCTTGAATGAAACACAAAATGCATTATTAAATTCACCATTTATTAATATGCCAACTGAAATGATACTCAAAATATTTGGATTACTCTCAGTTCCTGATCTAGAAAATGTTTCATTAGTTTGTCGACATTTTAAAATGATTGTTGATCAAGATACTATATGGAAAACAAGATGTAATAGTAAGTCAGATTTATTTGTTTTATTTAAATTCATTGAAATGTCAAACAGTATCAAAGAAATTAAATTCAAAATCATATAAACAAATTTATATTGATTGGATTTTCGAAAAATACCTTCGAAATGAAGAATTAGAAAGACTTAAGAAAAAATATCGAAATTTGAAAACAAGTTGTGGATTGAAATATTCACCTTCTCGATATCTTGTTCGATCAAAAAGCAATGATTCATTTTATCCGATTTTTCGATTTGATCAACATCCAAATTCATCATTAGATATGTATGTCAAATTTTGATTCATTCAAATTTTAATTATCTTCTATAGGACTATTCAATTATCAGTTAATATTGACAAAACTGCTCATGTATTAATATTATTATTAGAAAAAACTTCGAAATTACAGCAGAAATGGCGTAAATCACTGATTTTACAACAAATGATTAGACGATATTATCGATTTATGCAATTAAAAGTTCTATATCCTAAAAAACTTCTTATTCCAACTATAGATATTGAAATAGTTTGGCAAACACATCTTTTAAGACCTTTAATATATCAAAATGATTGTCGTCGATTATTTCATCAAATTATTGATCATTCTTTATTATTAAATCATACTCAACAATCTTTTAAAGAAGAAGCTTTTTTAGATACTTTACATCTATATGAAAAACATTTTCATGAACCATATTGTTCATTACCATTATATAAAAATGATAAAATGTCTTCACCAAAATATATGCGTCCTCATTTTGATACTTTTCAATGTTTAATTCCAAATTATTCTTTTTGGGATGAAACATATTTTCAATTTTCATCATATCCTCTCAATGATTATGAAAATCCATTTTCATTTACAGAAGCTGATATTATTCTTGATGGAAATTGGATAAACTCATGCAAAACTTTTATGAATATTATCTGTTCGAAGATGTACATCAATTTTTGGAGTTTTAATCCATTAAAACCAATCGATTTAAAATCATCAGCAATGAAACGATTAAAAAAATCCTATGAAAGATTTTTATATATAACAGCAAAATATTCACTAATTAAACAATATGATCTCATTCATCCAACATATGCAGTAATAATATTCAATATTAATTATATCAGTATGAAATTTTTATATTTAGATTGATATTATATGGCATTGTCATATGCAAGAACCTTTAAAATATGCTAATGATTGTCATCGTCTTGCTGGTTGCCTTATTGATCATCATCCATGGCCATCAATTGATGAATCTCATATAAAACAATCTTGTCAAAATCTTAATCAATATTGGAAAAAAGAATTTCAGAATGATATATCAATAGATCATTTTGGATATGATTGAAATCATCAATTCGAATAATGATTGAGTTAATGTTTAAAATAAAACTGGCTTTTATATCTCATCAATGAATTTTTTATTCTTAAATTTCAATAAATATTTTATCGAAATTTAGAATCTTGATGCTAATTATTGATAATGCTTTTTTTGTTACAGTTCATTATATTGGAAAAAATAATATTTTTACATTCTCTACGGATCTCTCATTTCTTTCTCACTTGAATATCAGCTAGTCGATAACAATACAAACTATAGTCAAATCATACAATTGCGTTTCGAGGATCAACAAACATTCATGAAATTATTTAAAAAACTAAGATGCAATAAGCTACGGTAAATCAAATTAATTTTTCTAATATTGCTCCAACTAGAAAACCTAGTAGAAAGTATCTGATTGAGACTTCATTAGTCGGATGTCGCCTGCCATGATTTTTTTTCCGCGTTCACCATCAAGCATATCATGAATTTTCTCTATGTTAATATGTATGTACTCGCACTCTCAAAAAACACTAGATTCGTCTGGAACCATCCTTACTCCTGGCTTCGATTGAGAAGACTCTGGATCGCAAAAAGTTTATGCCGAATCGGATTCACTAATCTTTGATTGACTTCGCTAATTTACATTAGTTTCATATGATTTCAATGACATAGAACTAGCCGTTTCTCTCCTGAAAATCTATAATGATTCGTCTATAAACAATGGTCATCTAATAATAGGGGTACAAAACAACAGATCTTTATATTAATTGTTTGTCAAGAAAAAGTCATCACGACAATTGTTGTTATGATACAAACCTGTTGTTGTGCGTCGGATGAGGATGTGGAATGTAGGTGAAGAAAAAGTGTACGCGCACCTCCACACTCACATACCTTAGTTCGAATTGAATCGTTTATCAGTTATCCAATAGTTCATGATGAGTCTCTCGGTATAGAACATGATGGGTGTTTTTAGTTACACTATAATTTTGGAAGTAGGTGACTTCTTTTAACAGATTCAGTTCTTTTTCAATAATCTTGTGTATATATCAATCGATATTTCCAAAAGCTTTTTTAAAAAGAACATAAACTACTAAAACAAGTTACGCATGTTAAAAATTATAGTATCAAGGAAAAAACGAACCTATTCTCTCAAAGAATCTCATCGAAGAAAGTTTTAAGCCGTTTCGTCTGATACGATTTTTTGAAAAAGTTTCATCTCATCTCGTCGAAGAGAACATCCTACGCGGAGTCCTTTTCTAAAATGTGCCAGATAAAGATATTCTTATATCGATCATTGAATGATTTCTGTGTGATACAATTACTTCTTCCCACTTTTTCTTTCTCTTTGATATGGTCATTTTTTTTCAACCAAAATCATTTTTTTCCTTTTCAATCACTGTAATACTATCTCGATAGAATTAACTTTCAGAATATGTTGCGGCTGATATGGAGAGGCTATAGTAAAATTTTCTGCCGTATATTATAACGCTTGACACAGATATTCACCAAACAAGAGTCAAACATAGTACATTTAGCACACCAAATTTCTTTGTCCAGGCTCATTCTACATATTTAATTTTTTTGTTTGAAAGAGCAGGTCGAGATGTAGGGCATTACAGAGTTCTTTTCTTCACATTCTTACTTTTTAAGCGGAGAGAAGAAATCACAAGTTCCATGACTTTCAAAACCCCTAAATATTGACCACTGTTTCTTTAGAGATCTTTTCTTATATGATAATAAAAAAGCTTGTTTCAAAAAACAGAGTTTAGGGTGGGTGTGGGCTTTTGAGTCATCTTATTAACCACACACCAATCTCGTAACACAGATCATGAACAAATACTTTTGTGTTCCCATCCATATTGTTTAGTTTAAGCACGGTGAAAAAATGAAGAGAAAAGTTTATAGTCTTCAATAAACATACTTATTTCAAAAGAAAATTCCTCTTCATAAGCGAAAACTGAATACAAGTACTTCAATCATATATTCTATTTGTCGATTGAAACTCATTATTGATTTAATTTGTTTTTTGTCAATATGTTAGACATCGATTTGTCTATAGTTGTATTATTTTTGCTTTGGTTATTACTTGCTTTTCATTATTTTATCTTTATGCAAATGCATTTGCTCTGATGATTCTTGGTTTACCTGCTGTAGGCTTTATTATTCTTCATCTTGTACGGTATAAATTTAAATATTTTGCATATTTTGATATATTCAATTTATGCACATTTGTTAAGATGTGATAATTCACGTATAAAGTATTATTTGTCGTTATTTAACAATAAGAAAAACGAAATTCTCAAGCAAATCTTCATTTACATTTTTGGCCTAATTAACAATAGAAATGATTTTCACTACCATATTCAAAATTTCATGATGACGACGATGATGACAATGATAAATTTTCAATATCATTATTGAGTAATTTATCAATAGAATCAATTCTTTAAGTTCTTTTATATGCATACATATTTGTATTAGTTTTTTTTTCTTTATTTCTTGGGGCGTGAAAGCACTATTTTTGTGCTATGAACATGTATTCTAGTGAATTTTTAAGGAAAATCTCTATGGAATACTTTTAGCATATCTTATTGTATATGTCCACTATTATAGTTTTCAATCTTTATTTCTCTTTTGAAATAGTCCAATATCTATTTGTGGCGTATTGTCAATAGTTGTACTGTAGAATTGTTTGTATATTTCACATAGTATCAGTAAATAATAAAGAAAACTGTGATAAATAAGATTTTTGTTTGTCATGTGATATATATTCAAACAAAAATTTGATTCTTTAATAGAATAATTAGCACTTTCAAATGCAAGAAAAATGATCAAAATTAAGAAAAGATTAATTTTTCATGCAACATGTTTTTTCGACCAATTATTGAAAAAGTTTACTTCGCTCTTTGCGTGCTGTTATAAGCGATAAATCACGAAACATATATTCAGAACCAAGATTTCTCTTAGCTAACAGAATTGGTCGAATATTATCTTAAAAATTTTAATTTTCTACCAAATCACCAACAATGATCTGAGCAATAGGTTCTCAATACTAAAACAAATGTCATATTTGAAACTATGATCCAGGAAATGATGCCCCTCTCGATATTGTTAAATAGATTGATACAAATTTTTTGTGTTATTTAAATCAGTGATAGATTGCCGTGTTAGATTGTTTTTATAAATCATTTCCATTTGACCGGTATAAGTGACTAAATTTCGTGTAAAATCAACAAATAATTTTTGAATATTTTCATTTTTTTCAAGAGATGATAATTTTTTATATTTTTTTTTCAATAAGTTTTAATCATCTCATATGAATCCATACGTTTTGTTTTTAAATCAGATTTTGTCTCAATGAGAAATATTTAGGTAGTCATTCAGGATAGTACCGTCTAACTTCCTTACGACAATCATTAACATTACGAGAATTTCTGTCATATTGAAACATAAAATGGGAAACAATAGTAAATATGTGCTCGGTTTTATATTATCCTTCTTTTTGGTACTTTGATGTGCTTTATGAAATAGGGATATTCTTGAAGGTCTTCTTGTTTTTCGTATCCATTCGTATAACTTCTGAAAGATGTTCAAGAATAGAGCACAGTTAGAACGGTATTTGCCAAGTGTAGCCTATATTTATTATTAACAAGCCGTTTGTATCTACTTCGAAAAGCCTTCCATCAACCATACGAACATGAATCGATTGATATCTTGTTGAGAAATAATATTAAGTATACTGTTGTAAAATTTCTGTTTCTCTAAACAATGCTAGTGTTTTTTTTTCGTGCTGCTACTTTTCTAATCTTAAACTTTACAAAGTAAATCGACATTTACATTCAAAGAAAAAGAAGGAAGAATAACTTTCAACAATTAGATTGTACATTTAATTCGGCTCCACCATCTAGGAGTATCTGGATTCTTAACTGGCCTTCCTGTACCTGTCAAGTCAAGTGATGGGTCTTCTATTTCTTGTTTTTTATAAAGCATTTCCATTTGATTGGTATGAGTTACTAAAGCTTGTGTAAAATCAACAAAACATTTTTCAACATTTTCATTTGTTTTTGAACTCGTTTCAAGATATGAGAATTGCTTTTGTTCAGCATAAGTTTTAATCATTTCATATGAAACCATACGTCGTGATTTTAAATCAGATTTAGTACCAATAAGAATCATAGGTGTTTGTTCCGGACAATATCGTTTAGCTTCTTCAAGCCAATTATTAACATTACGAAAACTTTCTAAATCTGTTATATCAAAACAAATGATAACACCATGTGCATTACGATAAAATGAAGATACAACACACTTAAAACGATCTTGACCAGCTGTATCCCATAATTGTAATTTACAACGTTTAGAATCGATTTCTAATGTTCGAATTTGAAAATCTATTATGATAAAAGAAAACAAGAATAGACAAAATGATTAGATCGTAAGTAAAATTACTTACCAACACCTATAGTCGCTACATATTCCGTTGAAAAATAATCATGAGCAAACCGTTGTAAAATTGTACTTTTTCTAAAATAATACAAGTGATTTTACATAGGAAAAAAATGAAAAGAAATACATACCCAACTCCACTATCACCAATAATTAATATTTTAAATAGAATATCAAATTCAACATCAGCTGTATAGTTAAATGTCATGATTTCTAGTTCGATAATACTGCCTGCTATTACTTTAAACTTTCATTTTTATACCTTTTTCAGTAGACTGGTTACGTTGAGTTATTTGCTGACGAGGACAGGTAAGCTATGAGATGACTCAATACGTTGAGTCATTCATATGTTTGCAATAAGCAATTTATGTTAGGAACAAGAATAGAGCTTGTTGCTATTCTTTCATATTATTAAAATTGAAGAATAATAAAAGAGATACCCCTAGGATCCACGAATTCGCAATTCAAGGAAATTCAAGAAAATCAACCAACGCAACAGACATACATAAGATATTAGATTACAAGCCTTAACTACGATAGAATTCTAGCAAATTCTAGAAAATCAAGCAATTTAAGATACTCAAGGCAATTCTAGAAATTCAAGGAATTCAACAAACATACAGAACAGGACCAGTCATCAGTCTAAACTCTGATGGAATTCTGGATATTACCAAAGGACCCACATGTTCGTAGAAGGTCAATGGGGAAACTGTACGAAATTCGTTCTCTCTCCAATCATACATTACAGGTTGCATTGAGCAGCGCATAGGTTCCAAAAACTGATCTTAAATTGCTAAAATTTCCTTGAATTCTACGGAAACTTTCAAGGACTATAATGCAAAGTTATATGATGCCTAAAATTTCTTGAATTTCCTTGAATTGCAAATTCTTGGATCTTAGGTACTGCTGAATGTTACTGAAAACGACGCTAAACTTCAAGTTTCACGACAAGTCTCAGTTTATATGCAACGAATTGATTTAGATAACGTGATAATAAAATTAATGTGTGTCCTTTTTACTTCACAGAAGATCATAGAAGAAAAATCACAGTGAACAATATTATGTTTGTGGAATAGCTTTGTATGTGTTTGCTCGACTATCTTTGCTGAAGTTTGAACATGTTATTCTTTAGCTTCTTCATTGATTGGTGAGCAAGAAAAGTCGACAATGGTAGGATCAATTTCGGTGAAACAGGTTTGTTGTCCCTCTACATGAATCCGATATCTTGAAACGCCTTCTTGAAGTCTACGGTATTTATTCTTTATCGTCAAGTGTTCATCCAAAGACGATTGAAGAATATTCTTGATTTAGAGGCAGTGGACTTGATACTGTTTCTTGGTTCATTATTTTCAATAAAGTCTTCAGCCGCATTGAGATCAGGTTTTTTTAAAGATTCAGAAGACTGAAAACGGCAAGAGCTTGGAGGTAGATGATACATTCGATGAAAATAATGGCAATAACGATGCTTTTCTTTCGAAGAGATCGAATTGTGTCCAGATTGAGATTAGATTTGATCAATTCAGTGATGAAGACTTTAGTATGTCCGTTCTGAACGCGAACAGTATACTTGTCTATAGTTGGCTTGTTGGTGACAGCCTTATCCAACTTCTGCTTTTGTAAAGCAATCCTAATCCGATTTGTTGATCTTCGTCATAAATCGTCAGCATCACAGTACAAAATCTGTAAACGAAGAGAAAAGAATAAGTCCGTTATTAGAATTATTGGCATGATGAGAGAGAAATACAAATTACTTTTGAGACTAGGCATCCATCTACCTCGTTAATAGTATTGACATCGTTGATTGGTCTTTTCGTTTGATCAGCGAACAAAGCACGAGAAGATTCGTCCACATTGCAGATATCTCGGGGAGTACATACTCTGGTGAAATATCACATCAGGACCTACAGACTTCCCATTGAAGTAACGACAAGAACAATCCTGCGCTTCGATGAGTTTCGTCAATTGAATATTTTTGCTACCATTTGATACGTTGAATAGATGAATGATGATGGACTAGGAATCGACAATACCATTCAGATGACAACAAAAGGTCACTATTTCTTTACAAATATTGAAAAATGGTTTCGTTATGCTACTGACGAGCCGCTTGTGCTTTCTGCCTAAAGAAAAAAATGACTATTTTCCTGCCAGAATTAGCAAAATACTATTACCTTTCTTTCAAGATGCTTATTCCAACTGCGAAGGTGCTTTACCGAACATCCAATCTTCTTTGATTGCTTGATTCTTGCTCTAATTTTTTTCGAAACGAATAAGCACATTCAGCTTTTCTGCAAGAGTCCATTGGCAGCTTTTACACTGTTTCATATTTGCTGATGATGAAGCTCGCGCAAAAACAACTTTTGAATAAGTATTGGAAGCTAAGAACTGATGATACGAAGACAATGAATTTTCAATATCATTCGATGAGTCTGATGATGAGTATGTAAACAGTGCACAAAGTTGAACCAACGAATAATCTTGACTACTGCCTTCTTCGTCATCCAAGTTGAGTTGTAGGTAAGTCTTTTATTTGACTTCATCAGCATTTCATTATGACTAGTTTCTCTTTAATCATCTGATTACATAATGAAAAATACGCATGCATACCCTAGTGATTGGCTTCTAACTATGTCCACCGTTCTTTAAATTACTTATTCTTTGTTCCGAAATAAGATTAGTGAAGTATTGTGCTGTACATGTTGAAGCCTATTAAAAGAAATCAACGACACAATATGAACTCTTCTTATTTTCCGACTTTTCGTGATATTACAAACAAAAGAAATATAAAATTGTCAATCTGCGATGACTTTCAGATACCTTTTCATTTTTTCTACTCATCGATAATAGAATAGAAGTTCTGGGAATTGATGAAACCTGAACGCATGTGAGGAGCCTTAATGAAGTCATTACAAATGCTGCCACTGTCGATAAAACGCAAACATTGGCGAAGAGTCTCATCGAAACTCCTGCTGGTAAAATAGATGTCACTACAACACCGGTACGTTCGATCACCATTAATGAAGTATGTACTCTGTCAAAGACCGCCAAAGGAACTTGCACGGGTCCAGGCATTGTGAATGAAACAATGATAGCTACTCGGATCGCGTTTGTAATCTGCATGACTGCCACAAACGTTGCTGAAACCATGGGGATTTCTAGAATCGCCAGTAAATTCTGCAGGATGCCAGGCGCCTCATTGAGAACTTGATAGCTTACAGGACAGTCTCAGATATTTTTGCGGGTACAGAAAAGCTAAGTGAAACCCTGAAGAAACTCGAGTTCGAGAATAAAACCTGCAGGACTTCTAAACATATTAGTGATATTGACACCACCACCAAGAGTCTTTCTGCGATTTTCTCGGATCACATGACCATATATTAAATGCATCATGAGTGCCTATGAAAAATGCAGGGATTCAGGCGGTGCAGCTGAGTACCTGATGCCAGCAAAAATGCTCTCCGAAATCATGACAGACACCAGGAAGACAAGTGATGCAGCAGCGATTTTTTCGGCCCTGCATGAATAATGAAGTAATTCTTGGATTGTAACTGAACTCTTCAAGCTACCAAGATGATCCCAGAAAACTTCACAATAGCAAGACGATCTCTTATATCTGGGTCCGCACCAGGATCGTAATTGCCATAGTAATGAATGTCAAGGCTGTTAATACAACTTGCAGCTATTATGGGACTTCCTTGAGTTTTTTATAGTTACAAGATGGTCTCTAATGCCATGAGTGGTATGAGGGACGTCGGTCCTACACTACCGAATTCCAGGACCGTCTATGAAACCTTTAAGGATTCAGGAATCTTCCTAAAATATTCATGGTAGAAAGATGGCCTCTGGCACCTTGGTGGATACCAGAATCGTCAGCTCGATGTCAATGAATGCCAGGACTATCTAAAAGACACAGATGTTCTGGGAGTGTCTCTGAAACGTTCATGATAACAAGACGGTCTCTAATACCGAGATTCATACCAGCGACGTTAGTTTAGCAGCGTGGAATGTCTGAGCGATCTGTGAAACCTCCAAGTATTTTGGAACTGCGTAACAAATATTCACAGCAGTAAGGCGGCCTCATATATCCTAACGGGTACCACTTACGCTAATGGTTCTGTTACGAATACTAGAAGCACTCATAATGCATGCTGGTGGTTTAGAACTATCCTTGAATCTTTAATGGTAGCGAGATGGCCTCTAGAACGATACCGGACATCAGGTTCGTTGGTTGTACAGTAACAGAATTCTAAGCCGTCAACGGAACATGCACATATTGTAGAGGACTGTCCCCGACACCTTTATGGTATCAACACTGCGTCTGATAATTTGTCGGGTACGGAAATCTTCAGTTGTACGGTAATTGAGGCTTGAACCGTCTACGAAATATTTACAGCTTTTAGGACTGCAACTGAAACTTTGACGATAGTGAAAAGATTTTTCATACCTTGGTGGATAACGAAATCATCAAAAGTGCAGAAACGTATTAATTGACCATCAACAAGACATGCAGCTGTTAGCTAACTGTCTCTGAAATCTTGATGGTATCAAGCTCTTCTCTGCTATCTCAGCCGATGTTCAGGGACATCAATGCTACAGTAATAGTTCGTCGAACCTGTCTCTAAAGCGTCCAAAGGATTCTGGAGCGCTCCTAAAAATTTGATTGTAACAAGACGATCTTTCATGCCTTGTTGAGTACTGAGATAGTCAGTTCTACTGTAACGAATGCCTGATCCGGCAACGGAACATGCAGCTGTTGTGAGAGTGTTCTTGAAACCCTCACGATAGTAGAACAGTTGCTGGTAATTTACTAAGTACGGAGATCATCAGTTGTACGGTAATCGATGTCTTGACTTTCAATGAGGCATGGAAGTGTTGTGTGACTGTCACTGAAATTTTCTTGGTAAGAGGACGGTCTCTGATGCCTCTGCAATCATGAGAAAGTTAATTGCGATGACAAGGATTGGCTGAGTCGCCCATGAAACGCTTTGAGGCTCATGAAAAACTCCCAAAACTTTCATGATAGCAAGAGGTCCTCTGATACCTGCGTCAGTTCTAGAAACGTCACTGCTATCACAACGAGCCTATGGGTCCTATGTGAAGAGTAAAAAGGGATCTGGAAGTACCCCTGAAGCCTTGACAGTCACAAGACCGTCTGCGATGCTGCCTTAAACAACCCTGGGGCGATCTCTGAAGCATTCAAAGAATTAT